ATTTAGTGTGCATTGGGGTTTTGCCTGCATATATGTCTATATGAAGGTGCCAGATCCCCCAGAACTGGAGTTATAGACAGTTGTGAATTGTCATGTGGGTGCTGGGAATTGAACCTTGGTCTTTTGGAAGACTAGCCAGTGCTCTTAACCACTAAACCATCTCTCCAGCCCCATCAGATGTCATTTTAGACATTCAATCACATTTTAAGTCTTTTCTATGAAAAAAAATCTAGATAAACCACTTAATAGAACCTAATACTTCCTCTACAATTTTCACTATTTATATATCTGATTATATTTCTGTATGTTCAAGCATTTTCCTCTGCATATTTTTTTTGCAAGAGACATATACGAAGTTATGTAGAAGGATTAGAACCCCAAATTATAGCATTTAAAAAATAGATCAGCAGCATTATTTCTGTCAACTTAGTTGTTTTCTTAGACCTCTGATGTCCCAGAGTTTCTGTCTCTTCCTGCGGTTTGCCAGGCACCTCAGGGTGATTGGCTGTGGGTAGTTGAAGTGAAGTAGATAACCTGTTATGGTTATCTCCAGGAGGACCTCAAAGCCTGCTGTCACCATGGCCAATGCTGAGCCTCTTGACTCCGTGGACTTCAGATTTGGTCTTGACAAGGCTGCTATGGCATCGTGGGACACGACACAACAGCCTGAACACATCAGAGAACCGTCCTGTGTCCACAGATGGAGGCTCAATAAGAGAGCTTGCTTCTGCTGTTGGTGGTGAAGCGAATGCCTTAGCTGACAGAGCGCCTGGGACTTTGGGCTCCTAGAAAACGAAACCAAGTCTAAATCCACAAAGAAGAAGCTCAAGAGTCAGCCATTTCAAGGTTGATGAACTCAGTGATTACACAGAAAATAACTTTTAACTTTTGCAATTCCTTGATCTTTTCCTGGGTCATCCTCTCCTGGCTGCTGGTGTTCCAGACATCATCACATTTTCACCCATTTTCTTTGAGATGAAGAAACATAGAGTTTTCCTTTTCTCTCTTATTTCTTTTTAATCAAGGAGGAAGCATTTCCCCCCCCCCCCCAGAAAGTTATCAGAAGACTCCAGAATGATGGTAGAAGCTGTCCCTAAACCAGTGGCTGATGTGGGAATAGAATTATGGTGACTGTAGTGTGTTAAGACAACTCATAGCCGTCAACAGGGGCATCTCACTGAACTCAGAAAATGGAGTGTAAGCAAGGTCAAAGTTCAGCTAAGCACCAATGAGAGTGAATGGTTGTGAAGGTGTATCCAATACTGATCACTACTAATTGCTACAAACATTTTCTGCTTGAGTTGTGTGTCCGTGTTTGTATAGAGGTCAGGGGCCAACATCTGGTGTCATTACTCAGACATTGTCCACCTTATTTATGAGAGTCTCCCACCGGCCCGAAACCTGTTGAGCTCCAGTCTCTACCTTACCTGTACTGGGATTTCAAGCACACTCTACCAGATTTGGTTGTTTTTCCATGGGCTCTGGCTGCTGAACTTGGATCTTCCTGCCTCGGAGTCATCCACCCAGGCCAGGTGCTTGGAGACAGGCAGAAGGAAAGATACTTTGTTTTGCCTTCTACCTTCCCAGAAAAGAAGATAGACATTCTGGACAAAGAAGTTATGGGTTCTTTGTAATACTGAAATTTCAGGACATGTTGATGCCTGTGATCCATGCTGCCACCGCTGGTATGGACAAGGAAGCTTCTTTTGCAGTGTTGTCAATGACTGCAGACCCATAACTAAGAATGAGAGACATTGATGGCCTCTGTAACAATGCCCTCCCCCTGCCACCAAGAAGGAAGGAAGGAAGGAAGCATCTTTGTTACAGTTTCTAAGGACTCCTGTCAATAGCTTCCTGTATGGACTGTCTCTTTCTCTCCTTTCCTCCCTCCCTCCCTCCCATCTTCCCTCCCTTGCTCCCTCCCTCCCTCTCCCTCCCACTTTCCCTCCTTGCCTCCTTGCCTCCTTCCCTCCTTCCCTCCTTGCCTCCTTCCCTCCTTGCCTCCTTCCCTCCTTCCCTCCTTCCCTCCTTCCCTCCTTCCTTCCTTCCTTCCTTCCTTCCTTCCTTCCTTCCTTCCTTCCTTCCAGCAGTGTCAGCATGGATCACAGACATCAACATGTCCTGAACTTTCAATCAGCAGAGAAAATAGCAACAAGGGCAGGCCTACTTACTGCTCCTGAGTTCACACTCCCACCCTTGGCTCTTCGCCCTGACACTCTTGACTTGGGGCAGCATAGTGCTGAGGTCATCATTTTCTTATCCCAGCCTATCAGGCTAGCCTCCTTCCTAGCTTCCTTGCAACCTTCCTTGTTGATAGTGGTGGCCACGTGAAACTCTGGCCAGTGTGTCCTCTGAACGGGAGGTTTCTGGGAACTCTTATTTTCATGACAAAGTGATAAGCGTTAGGAGATAGAAGGCTCTCAGGGACCTCCCCATCTTACCGTACAATAATATCAGGTACTATAGTAACTCTCTTGACAGCATGAGGTAATGAACATGGGGCAAATATTCATACAGAGATCAGGAGAACAAAAGATTCTGAGTCATGAGACCAAGCCTAGAACTACCTACGTTCAGATTTCTGGCTGTGTGAGATCACTGAATGGCCTCATTGTTTAAGTGATTGAAGCTGGCTCTCCCATTACTTGCATCCCAATGTGCTGATGGTTGAAAGGCACTGACCGCTGAACAATGTCCTGTGGAGATGCTGCCGCTGTCCTTCAGCTCCCTCCTCCATCGTGTGGTAGCTACAGCTGGACCACAGCTTCCCAGTCCTCAAGGCCAAGTCAGATGAGCCCATCCTTACCTACTTTTAGCCCTTTAAAATCCACTTGATTTTCTTTATTTTTAATCTAATTCTTTATTGTTATATGCATATTGTATATATCACATGCATATGTATTACATAGTATTACTATTGCTATTATCATATGTGTATATGTATGTATGTATACATGCATGACTATGTGTCATGCCACATCTATGGAGATCAGGGAACAGTGAGAATCAATTCTCTTTTGTCATTCGGGTCCTGAGGCTTGAATGCAGGTCATAGGCTTGGTGAAAACACCTTTTCCTGCTGAGCTGTCTCACCAGGGGATCTTCCAGTTGATTTTCTTTATTGTTGGTATGTTTTCTATCCTGACTAGATGTGAAAGCTTCCAGTCAGAGGCTGGACCCTTTCCCCTTCTGGCATCTGTTCTTACACTGTGTGGAAAGAAGATTCTCAAAGGCTGGGGTGAAATGAGCTGCCAGGCATCTTCCCTTTCTCCGCAGCAGCATGGAGGGAGGTAAGCATGCGGGTTTTGTCTTCCGAAGATGCTCACCCACTACCTCCTTGGTTTCTAACCTGAGAACAGAAGACCCATGTTCTTCTACAGACCTGTCTCCACGCTAATCACTAACACTGGGGTGGGAGGTCCTTTGGATCTTGGTTGCTTCCTGGGGTTTCCACTTCTATACTCTGTTGACACGTGGTTCTGTGGCTTCCGTGATGGCTGAAACACCTCCCACAGGTGTCACTTCGAGGGTATTTTGTCGTGATTCACTAAAGTGAAGCCTTTGGTGTGTTTGTCTGTGTGTGTGTGTGTGTGTGTGTGTGTGTTAGGAGCTGGTACTGGGGTGGAGCTCAGGGCATTGCCTCCCACCATGTGCCCCGCTGTAGCCCTACCTGTGTGCATCCTTAATGCCATGGTGGCTTCTTGCTGGGTTAATGTCATCCCGAGCCTTGCCCTCATCCCTCCTGTACTGAGCCCCTCGCTTCTCAAAGCCTGCCCTGCTCCTTCTTTCTCTGCAAGCACAAGAGCCTTTTGTGGGCCCCAAGATATCATTCCAACACAGCTTTGTACCAGCAACTGTGGGTTCTCCTTAAGGTAACTGTGGGTGGCCCTCCATTTATTTCCCTGCTTCCTTTTTGTTTCGGTAAATTCTGCCTTCCAGGCCCCCCTCCCCGCAGCACATGCCGTCCGTGTCATCTGAATGGCCACTTAGAGGAAGGATCAGAAGTTTGTTGTTTCATTTCCAGCATAAATCAAAACTTTGTGTTCAGGCTGCGATGCGAGCGAGCCCAGGAATAGCTTTGGGATTGCTAAGTGTCTGGAGCGCACCGACTACAGACATGTTTTGAAGCTGGTCATAATAGTTGCTCCAGCTGCTGACAGTTCCCAAAAGAATGGCAGCATTATCCACCAGGCCTTAAAATGTGCCGGGCTTGCATTGCACAGAAGTCACTCTGGGGTAGATGTGGATTTTTTTTTTCCTTTTCTGAAACTCAGCCATAAAAGTCTTCAATAACTAGAGAAATTCCTTTCACCGCTGAATCCAACATGAAGGACATTGTGCTGTGGCCATTCCGTATCACAGCCCATGAACGTTGTCTTTGTGTGAGTGGATGTACGAGCTGTACTGTTTTGTTTTTATTTATTCTGCATTCTTTATTTTAATGTCCTTTCCCTTTTCCTGACCAGAAAGATTGTTATTGAGCCCTTCACAAAGCTGAAATCCTGCAGTGTGTTAAAAAAATGTTAACAATTCAAAGAAGTTATAAAAATTTATAAGTTGGCAGAATGCTTGGGAAATATCTGCATATTTTAATATAAATAGATAATGCAAATATTTGTTCACTGCATTGAGAGATGAGTCTCTGTTTTCCAAAAGACCCTGCTATTTAAATTTGATTTATTTGATTACATTGAAATAAAGGGTGTCCACAGCGAATGAGGCCGAAGATGAAATGCCCCATTGTGAGCAAGTGAAAGACGGTAAAGTCAGCTGTGTTGTTGCGTTGCGGACTCAGGGGGCTGGCTTGCTGGTTAGAATTCTCATAACGGTGACTTGCTCTTAACTATTTGACTTTTGAGATTTCTAATTTGAGATGAAGGTTTGGAGTTTTAGAAGAGTGATCAGCTCTCCCCCTCCCCGCCATCTCCTTCTCTTTCTCTTGGTTAGTTTTACTGTCTCTTTAGAAAATGAACTGCCAAGGCTGGAGAGATGAGATGGCTCAGCAGGTAAGAGCGTTTGCTGCTGAATTTGATCCCCAGGACCCTCATGGTAGAAGGAGAGGACTGACTCTTGAAAGCTGTGCTCTGACCTCCACACAATTACACAAGAATGTAACTAACATTTTTTAAGTGTACTGGCAGACTTAAGGTAAGCCTGGGTTGGCTATACTGAGGGGATAACCGTATAAAGAAAGGTAAGTAGAGTTTACTTACAAAATCAGCATCAAGAGGGGATGCTCTGCTTGGCTTTTATGACCAAGATATACACATTTAGGATAAACCTGGACCAAAGGTCTGTGTAGAAGGAATAGGATCTAGTGTTCTAGGTCTTTCTGAAGTTCAGACCAAGGTTGCTAGTGGAAACCTAGAGGATGGGTGGAGCTCCACAGAACAACTTACCAAATAGGTCTCCCCATCTGAGGGGAGACTCGGGGTGCTCTCTAGGGGTCAGACTGCAGGTCGGAATACCTGGCACCGTGGAGGCATCTGCAGGAGGCAGCTTCTTCCACAGAGTCTGTGGCAAATCAAGAGGGTGCCCTCAGGAGATGAGAACAGACAGTGGCTGAAGGGGGCAGCTCTGTAGTTAAGACACAGGAGTTATGGGGCTCAGCTTTGATGTTCCCAAATTAAAAAGCAAGAAGCTGCCTTCAGGAGAAAAGCTCTGTAAAGCGCTAGTGAGTGGTCACATCTCATATTCCCCGGCACAAGCTTCACCTGCCAAGGCCCCGGGGTCGGGAGAGACCAAGTGGCACAAGAGGAAAGGACGAAGGCTACACCCAGGATTGAGCAAGTCCATCCACCCAAACACACAAACTGTCTCACAGCATCGTCTGGACAGCCACTGGCTGCCATCCCACACTACGGCAGACTCACTCTCATGCTGCCCAGGGCCAGTACACATGCTACCCATAGCCTTTAGCTCTCTGAGGCTTGGGCGAACCCAGTACACCTGAGGAGTTTGGCCTTCCATGGGAAAGAGGCTTAAAGAGGAATGATGTTGATAACGTCTCCCTGGACGAACCCAGCACAGAGAATTTTATTGTCCTGAACCAGAAGGCCCCACTTGACTGAGAAATAACATCAACAGCTGATATTTGTAGAAAGCTTACAGTGTGCCAAACATCGGAGATCTTGTTTACAAAGAAATGACAGAGCCGAGCCTGTTGCACGTGTCTGCAATTGGGAGGCTGAAGCAGGAGCATTGAAAACCAGTGGCTAACCTGCATTACACAGAGGGAGCCTATCTCAAGAAAAACAACATGGGCTCTGGAGAGCTGGCTGTGTGCTTAAGAGTATTTATGGCTCTTGCAGAGGACCCAGGTTTATTTTCTAGCACCCACATGGTAGCTCACAACCATCTGTAACTCCAGTCCCAGGAGATCTGACCTCTTTTTTATGACTTCTGAGGGCACCAGTCATGTGCGTAATGCAGGCAAAACACTCATACACATAAACAGATTTTAAAAAGGTGAAATAAAATCAGCCGTAGCATAAACTACAGAGGGAATTGTCAAAGTAGCCTAAGGAAAGAAGAAGCCTAAGCAGAGGCGGCCCAGGAAACAGCGGGAAACTATTTTAACCCTGTATTTCAGACACTGGTACCCTGGGTGTTGCTGACATCTTCCTCTGGCCTTGTCTTGTCTCCGCAATCTTTGTGGTCCCCAGTGGAAGAATTCCAAGGAGACGTGCTGAGTAAGGTATAGAACATGCTCTTGGAAAAGGAGCCAGGTTGTAAAACTCTTCTTGTGAAAGGGTGTATCTATACAAATGTAAATTAATTGAGAGTATCTGAAATCATGCCTCCATTATGGAGTCTCATAATGCTATCAAATTGTTGTGTATATTTGTGTTTATGTATATTGTGTGAGGGGATGCGTGTGTATGTATGTATATGTGTGTATGTATGTGTATCAGGGCATGTGTGGGTACAGTCATATTGTAAAATATAGGAAAGAAGGTATTGAGGGACAGATGAGGGAGACCTGGTGGCTAGTGGTAATCACACCTGACTCAGCTCCACTTCCCGTCAGCACTTGGTTTCTTTACCCCCTCTCAACACCAACACTTTCTGCCTGGGCAAGAATCCAGGTACTTCCAGAACTGGGGAAACCCTTTCTTGTGTTTTCTTCTTGAGTATACTTCAGGGTGGGGCTTGGGAGCAGAGGAAAGAATGAGGTGGAGGAGTGAGGGATTCTCCGAATATGACAGTATTTGGAAGAGGTGGAAAGTGCTTTATGTAAAAGAGGGGTGCAGACAAAACTCTAGAGATTCTGAAGGATAGGCGACCTTAAAGACCACAAAGAAAGATGTTCCAGAGGTGGCCCAGAAAGTGGGCCTGAAAGGGTTTGTAGTATTTCTTTATTTTTACTTTTTTGTGCATGGGTGGAAGAGCATTAAGCCTAAATGGGCGTTGCACCACAACATGTGTGTCTGAAGTGGGAACATGCTTTCTCCCATCCAAGGCTCTTCATGAGATCTAGGTGTTAACAGTACCATGGGCTCTGACTGTGTTCTCTGTGGTGACCCTCCCCTGGCCTCCCACCTTCTTCCCTCCCTCTTCTTTTTCCTTTCATTTCTATCACACTTTTATTACACTGTGTCCTTGAGACTTATTTTCTTAAGTGCTGAGACCAGCATTCTCCTTCTTGGGATGCCCTGTGACCAGGATGGAAGTGGTGCTCGGTGACTTTAAAACCCAGGTCATAGAAAGCCAAGAAGCCTCCTCCCAGAACTGTTGGGACCCTCAGCTTCAGAGACTGAGCTGCCGTGTGGGGATACAGGGCTCCAGGCTAGGGTGAAGGGCAGCAACACCACCCGGAAATGTGCATGGAGGATGATCCTGAAGCGGGGTCCCTCTAGGCAGTCAGTTCTTTCTACAGACATCTTAGGTGTCACTGAGCAGATCAGGGCAGCCCTACTGCATCTTTTTAAATCTTGGCACAAAATAGGCTAGCATAATGAAATGGTTGTTTATGCAGTTAAACCTGGGCAGGTTGTGCATACACCTACAGCAGCCGTCATAGCCAACAGTGATGCTCTCTTCCGGTTCATGGCTGAGAAGGGAGGGTGGGGACTATTGACTATTGACTCTTGACTCTTGAGAAATCCTGGTTGGCTGATGTACACCAGTTTTCTCATTCCATTTTCCTAACATTGTGAGGAAAATATCTTTGGTTTTATAGTACAGAGAACAAGACTCTGAGAGACTGAGTGGCTTCCCTAGGACCACAGACTTAGAACATAGACACAGTTTCTACAGGGGTCTACACTTCTCTACCATGTGGCATAGCCCTCGGTGTGAGGCCCAGAAGTACTTTAAATACTCCACTCCGACCACCTCCCAGACCAAGATCTAGAGAGGCAGCTGGAGGGAGGGGTAGACTGCCTGCCTCCCAGATACTTTAGGTCAATTGGTTTATTCTTTGTGTGTCAGGAAAATCATTAATATCTGCTACTTGTAAGTCACAAGTGGCCCAATTGGGGACTATAAATACTATGAACCCCCCCCCCCCAAAGGTGTCTTTAAAATGGAACTTTTTGAGTAGAATAGGATGAGGTGCTGTTGAGTGACTGAAATGGCGTGAAGGTCACAGTCATTATGTACCACAGTTTAAAAGTTTTCATGTCTGAATTAACAAACACAATCATACCTCAAATAAGATACTACAAGTAAAACAGGCCTCAGCTGTATCTGTTATCCTGTTTGATGAGGCTGCGCATGACCAAAATGGCAGCAGCAGTCCCTGTCTCTCTTGGGGATAATGTGAGCTAAGGGCCTAGTACATGGGCCAGCTCGTTTCTCAAAAGTGCGGTCCACAAACTATGAATGGCAGACTGGTGGGGAGACAGGGTAAGGTTATCACACTTCACCAGGGATCATGAAGCCATTTTCACAGGTAGACCCAGGACTCAACATTTTGAGCAAGCCCCCATCAAATTCTGTCGCATCCCGAAGATGGGGAGTTCTGAGATTACATGCTTAGGATCAGGGAACACTGGGGTCCTAGAGAGAGATAATTGATTTGAGAGTGTTGTATAGTTAGCCTGCTTAACTTAAAACTGTAAATGCATTGGACCAGGAGTTTGCTCACCCTGCCCCAGCCAAGGCCATGGTCACCTCATTCAGGGCTGTTGAAAGATGGCATTGGTTTTTATCCCATACTGCCTACTCATGGGTCATAAACTCACCTACCAGGATGAGGAGAGTTGCTTTATTTTATTGCAGAAATGGTGGTAGGTTATGATTTGACGTTAGTCTTTTTCTCCTTATGGTCTGTGTCATCAAGATGAATCTCATAGAAGGGCTGCCACACACGCTTTAATAATGAACTACAGAGACAGTGGCTGGGTGGACCAGAGTCTATTCCATTCGAGTCCGCTGGAATAACACTGGACAAAGGGGATTGTGGGCAGGAGCCATACAGACTCGGGTGGGTGAAGGCTGGGTACCTCCCTTTCCCTTGGTATCTGTGAACGTGCAATGAGGACTTGGCAAAAGACTGAGGAAGCCCAACGGGAAGTCAGGAATTGAGCTTTGGAATCATCAGGCCTAACTTTCTTATTTGTATAGAGGAGTAAACTGAGGCACAAAGAAAGGAACTTGCTGCACTAAATCCTGGCTCGTTCATTTCCCGACTGTGTCACCTAGGAAAATGCCCTGTTTTCTCTGAGATGTAGGGTGACAGCAGGGCCAGTGGTCTTTGGGCTGAGTGAGTAGAACAGCATGAACATGGATGGAGGATGGAGCCCGGCTTGGCGATGCAACTGATCTTTGCTGCCAAGGTTCTGCTCAGCTGCCTCCACAGAGCTAGCAGGCCCAGACCTGGTCTCCAGAATCTCAGCACGCAGGCTCACAGATACCTACATTTCCCAGTGCGGTCAAGTACTATTTTTAAGAACTTTCTCGACAGAAAGTGCCTGGGGACAATGGGCTCTGGCTGGCCGCCTCCAGCTTCACAGTCTGTTCTCAGGGGTGGGTGGGTGGCCTCTATGTCCTGTCTGTCTGTGTCCCCAGGTGCCCTGAACAGCTGCCCCGTTCCTGCTTGTTTGCTACACGGGGTCACAGATGTGAGGCTAAGACCTCAGAGGCTACAGCCACTTAGTAGGGATCTGCTCCTCAGCAGCAAGCTCTCCCCAAGGCTTCTGACTGTTAGGTTTGAGTGTGTCTTTAATCCCTAATCTCTACCTCTCTTTGCTCCTCTGTCGGAGCTTGAGCGGAATGTTTACCTCACAGGATGGTTAGGAAACTAAGAGAGAAAGGGGCAAAGCGCAGAGAGTTGCCCTTCCCTGTACACAGTAGTGCATTGGTAACTTTTAACCTAACCTTGTGAATTCAGAGGAGACTTAGGATATAGAAATTGTAGTTTGAAATGCAATGATATTTTAAATAATCACAAAGATAAAAGGTCAAATTTGAGAGATAATTGAAAATACAGTATGACCCTATAAAGTCAATGAAATTGACAATGGTTCTGAGAGAGAGAGAGAGAGAGAGAGGATAAGGAAGGCACTTCAAAGCTTTTTTCTCTAGCTCTGTGAGTTCCTCCCTACCTCCTGCCTTTCCACTTCTGCCTGGGCTTTTCATAGTTGTTTAAGAAATTGACTCAAAAATAAATGTGCTGGGAGGTTCTATTCAGGTTGATAAGCTTATATTGTTGTGATTAACAACAAATCCTATCAATAGAGTTCATTTGCATTTATACTCTTAAATTAGGTAAGAGAAACGAGTACAGTAGGCAAGCAAAGTACACTTCACAGGATTTCAAAACAGAGAACGTGCTTTCTTTAGAGGAGTTGCTGAATCAATGAAATAGTGACTGACCCAAGGCACTGGCTTCTTAATCCTTCTCCTTTTGTGCATAGCTGCTATATTGTTCAGGGTGAGTCACGTGATGATGAGGTAACAAGCACCCCCAAGGCTCCCAGAGACAGAAAGAAAATCCTTAAGTGACAAATCTCTTATCAGTTTATCTGGGCCCCAGGAAGCAAGGCTAGAGCAACTTCTGTCGGACACACTGGCTGCCAGTTGTCATGATCTAGGGACAGCGTGGTAGACTGAGCTCTCTGATAAATTAAGAGCTTCCACCTAGACGTAGCATACATCACTTTGGATCAGAGGTCATGGCCAACGCAAGAACGTGTCTAGCTATCACGCAGCAGAGAAGTGTTCCTACTCTGGGTTTGGGTGACCAGCTCCCGCTACATCTACTCACAGGCCTTCCCATGACTGTTACTGACATGTTCTTTGCTCTCTTCCTAGCACCAGGCTGCTGTAGCAATGGGACCAGTGTTAGGTGCCTGCCTAACTGTGGAGCTAAACATGTGCCTGGAACAAAATGGAAAATGGGGTCAGAAAATTTGATCCGCTGTTTCCTTTCCTCCGTTGGCACCCCTCCTTCCTTGACTCTGGGCTCAATGACTGACACGATCCTGGGTCACCATCAGCCTCTCCAAGTATCTGCCTTGCAGATAGCAGATGGGGGTCTCTCTTAGTCCTCTGTGGATCGTGATGGAGATGTGAAGGATGGTTGTTAGGACTCCGGCGCCCTCGCCTGCCGTTCTCGAGTGCCCATCGAGGCTGGGTTCTCCATCGAGCCTGCTGCTCTCACTCCTCCTAGCGCAGTCTACGCTGATCTCTCTACCACTCCTTCTGCCTGTTTCCATGGTAAGATTTCCTGGTCGTTTCTGGCTTCATCACAGCGCTCTTGTCTATGAACTAGGATAGCATAATGCCTATTAACTCATGGATGGCTGTAGGTTAGGAAAGATCCCGTCACAGCCCTAGTGACGGGCCGGCCTGAAAAGGACTCACCTAAGCAGGCTAATGGTACTTATAGATTTATAGCATGCTCAAAATGAATATTATTTCAGAGACCATCTCATATGATGGCCTTTCCCCTCAACTTTGAAAGATCCTCAAGACTCTTGCTTCTGTAAGGCTCTACTCCTCGAGAGGCTCTGGAACAGATGTATAGAATTAGGCTTTCTCTGTCGACTTGAGCCTAAGCCTCTGGCCTTACTGAAGAGAGACTGAGGCCAGAGGGAGGAAGGGATGCGGGATTGCAGACAGATTGCTTGAGGTCAGGCGTAGGAGACCAGGTTACCATCATGTTTCTTGTCTGACATACCTGCCTCGAAGAAGACGCCAGGGAAGAAAGGGGTCATTTCTGATGATTCACAGACTTTTCATAAGCAAATTTATTTTTCCTTGTAAGGCTCTGGGTGACTAGACAGAGATAATAAGATTAAAAAAAAAACAACTCTTTTCCTCTAAACGACTGGTTAAAATGTGGTACAGGCTGTGAGTGACTTAGGGTCATTATTGTGTGATGGGTTATCAAAGGCCTATGCGAAATGTGTGGGACTTTTATGAGCTTGTTTTTATTATAGTAGACTGTCTGAGGGCCCCTTTTGTACAAAGTGCTTTGAAAGTTCTAATGGGACCCCATAATCATCTGTGTGATTACGAAGGTCAAATTGTGCCGAACAAACCCCAGAGCTATTTTTGACCAAATTAGTGGATGAACAGAACAGAATATTAAAAAGCATAATTTTGTTGTTGTTGCCCTTCCAGCCTTGTGGGCACAATGAAATCTCTCTTGCAGCTGAGAAAGTGCCTGCTGTCATACATTTTCCCACTTTGTTTTCTGTTATCGTGGCCGTCACGTCTACCCCGGACAGCAGCGATAGAACCTACACGGTACGAAGCATTTAGGGTACTGATGGAAATGGTTCAATTTTGTGTCAATCAAGAAGAAAAAGAAATGAACTCTCAGGAGGAAGAAAATGTGATCGATAACAGGACAGTTGTCTGTATACTGGCACAGCCATGAATTGAAGGCCGGGGCCATGCAAACAAAACCACCGAGTGCCCCAAAGGTCCTAATGTACCCCCACCCCATTATCAGTATATGGTTTGGCCAAGAAGGTTTTCTTTCACTGGGTTCAAGGTGAAGGACAGGGCTATACTGGCTTTCAGACATACCAGAAGCTCAGGTCCCCACTGAGGTCTTCTAGGGTCAAATGGCCCCTGCTTTCTGCCTCCAGCTTTCCTTTCTAGTATTTCCTATCAACATTGGGGTTCTGAATGTGCTGAAAAGAACTTGGACCGTGAACATGGGGAAGGGAATGGACACAAATCAGGTTCATTTTAGCGGGAGGTTTGTGTGTGTTGGGGGGTCTTCCCCTGTAGCTTGACTCCAGGCTACCTAGAACTGTCCTTGCTCCCTGGGACAGTTCCGTTTCCTCGAAATTCGAATTTTAGGTCCCCCGCTGCTCCAAAGCTAAGATGCAGCTTCTTGCTGCTCTATATCTCCTCTCTGTAATATCTCCTTGCAGAGGGCTGTGTTCCTGAGGCTAGAGCGTGTGTGGCCAGAAAGCCTTCATCTGGTGAGTGGCACAGATGCCACAGGATGCCTGTGTTGCCTCATCACACTGAGACTGGGAAGGAAATCAGCTCTCTCACACCGGTGTCTGTCTGTCTGCCCTGTCTACATGATAAAGCTTTAGTGACCTTCTAGAGACCTCCTTGATTCACCTAAAATCCACAGGATGCAGTCAAAGCTTGCAAAGCTGCAGCAGTGTGACAGTGGGGGGCGGCAAAGAAAAGCATGATGGGAGTCACCTGAGCAGCACGGAGCTCCTGAGCCGGGCATTGCCAACAGGTGGGACACATTAGGACTTGTAGGGGCACTGGATGGGTTTACCATTACTGTCCCATTACCCATCAAAGTAAATACATTAATAATTGTACCTTATGGCTATTTAACCAACAAATATTAACATTATCTATCACAATATTTCCTTTCTCATAAGAGTTCACTGCTTTCTTTTTGTTTGAAAACATTTTCCTCTGTACTCTGAAAGTCTGTGGGATGTTGACCACCTGTTGTACCAGATGGTGAAGCTGCCCATGCTAGCGGCCAGCAAATGTCTGTATCTTCAGGACGGCCATAGGAGGCTGAATAGTTATGAATAGGAGCTCTTTTATTACTCTAAATGGTAATAATACACATTACAAATGGGTGTGGTTCATAAAGTGCTTAATTATATAGACAATCTACATGTTGCATGGTTAGCAATAGGCTTGTCTATGAAGATCTTGACGTTCCAAAGCAAAACTGAGAACATTGGTTTTAGGGACAAAGGCCAGAGGTTTTATAAATTTTGAGGTGCTGTGGCCTTTGGTCAGGATTCTGCTTCAGTTAACCACAAACTTGTGCAAAAGTCTTGTTGGGCAAGTCGTTTCATTCTGTGCTGGGACTTCCTGCCTTCTAAGTGAGCTAGGAAGACAGAAGCCCCATGGAGGGCATGAGATGAAGTGTTTGCAAAGTCCTCTCTGTGCAATGCCTGGGATACCGTCTGTTTTTGGTGTTGGTTACTATAATTGCTATTATAATTGCTATAATTATCATTATGAAGTTATCTTCTCTGACAGAAAGAGAAACTCAGGATTCGCCATCTTTTTGTGAGGCAATCATTTTGCTAAGTTCAGACAGGTAGTTCAGAAAAAAAGATGTCAGAGGTTAGAATTAAGCAATAATTTGCAAAGGGAAAGAAAGACGGGGAGGAAACAGAGACGTTTCAAAGATATTTGACCTGTAATAGTCCCCTTTTTCCTGCTCTACCCAGCAGTGAATATGAGCTATGTCCTCTCCAGCATGTCCACACTCCGTGTGTTACCTTCCTGTAGTGACTTGGCTCTCTTATGTGTTGCTCGGTTTTAGTTCCTGGAACCCTTTCGTAGTAGACTAATGAGTTGTCACAACCCATTACCTGCTTTATCTTCAAATGACCTCATTATGTAAGCATTGTATCATCTCAGGTCATCACAAGAAGGGTGACTATAGCATAGTATTGAGAGAGAGAGAGAAAGAGAGAGAGAGAGAGAGGAGAGAGGGGAGAGAGGAGAGATCATTCACATAATCGTCATCCAAGTACACGTGGCAATTGCTCTATTTTACTCTCATCGCTGACGTACTGTGCTAATCTACAAATTCAGCCTCATCATAGGTACACAGACGTAATGAGAACCATGGTACTGGCTGCAGCTTCAGGTATCTGCTGGAGTCAGGGAACATGTGTCATGGATAGGACGACTTATTGAACTGATCCTCGTCAACCAAAGACTGCTGGAGACCAGGCACATGGAGAAAAGGCCAGAGAGGAACAAGGGTAGCAGCGAACTGAAAGCGGAGAACGTTAGCTGCTGAAGGCAGGCATTCTTTTCTGATGTTTATAGGAGGAGAGATTGCTCAGTTACACAGCCACACTGTATCTAGAATGACTAAAGTCTTAGTCTGGAAACGATCATATGAACAGCATAGTTTGGTCTCGTCATCCTGTGGTCCCCAGCACAAGCGGGTTACAGCTGGATGCATCATACCAGAAATAGGAAAGAGGAAAGCACCGCCCAGAACACAAAGGTAATGAGGCCATTTTAACGGTACAAACAATGTTAATGACATTAATATTACCATATTTGGTGTTTTTAATTAGGAAAAAAGCTCCCCCCCTTTTTTTTGCAGCTGTAAGTGTGTATTATACCACAGTGTGGTTACTGTCTTAAATCAATGGATAAGAAACTGAGTCTGGTTCGTGTGCCTAAACCGCACAACTAAGTCTTGGACCTTCAGTAATCGATCGTAGATCTGTGCTATCTGTTGCATTCTTAGTGGGCCAGAGAGATGGTTCAGCAGGTGAGGGGTGCTTGCCACCAGCCTGACAGCCTGACGTCAGTAACTCGCACCCACGTAGTAGACAGAAAGCCGACTCAGTAAGCTGTCCCCTGATTGCCACATGCTCTCCATGGCACATGCGTGGTCCCCCCAGCAACAAAATTAATCCAAACAATAATAATTGCTTTTGTTGAGCTACTACTGTTTCTTTGCCCTGTGCCAATATCTTGACTCACGGTTTCCCATGGTTCCATCACAAAGTGTGGGTTCACATCCCCATTGGTAGCTGAAGAAACTCAGATTCCCCGAAGGCACGTGACTTACTCCTGATCCTAATTTTTGTCAGTCGAGTTCTCACTGAAGGTCTGTTTCACTTCACGGGACAAGATGGTTGTGCTTGGTATTTATGCTTGGCATTTGAGTGGATATAATTTTAATCTTTAGTGACTATTAGCCTGTGGGTTAAGTAAGTACAGACTGCTGTAAAACAGAACCCAGTCGGGCTAGAAAGATGCCATCACTTATACAAATGAGCAGACAGGTAGAATTTTCAGAAATGAGGCTGAGACATAAGGAGAAACAGAGCTCACTGCTCCTCGTGGATCAGGATAAGTTCTCAAGTGTGAGGCCTTGAATAACTAGGCTAGACAGCGTCAACCTTTGTTTGCACCTGAAGGTCAGAGGAACCTGCAGGTGGAGCCCAAGTAAGGGTGCTATTATTGATCCATGCAGAATGGCTTTAGGGGTCTCCACACTGCTCCCTGCTGTTGGTCCTCTTGGGGATTTCAGTATTCACAGCGTTGGATATAACAGGCTCTGCTCCTCAGAGAAAGGTCAGCTTGTCAGGACACGGAGACAAGCTGTGAATTGGTCTTTCATGCAGAGTATGGTTCACAAGGCCAGACCTCAGCCTTACCCGTTCCCAAGAACTCATTCATTGCAAGGACTTGCCTTGTGAAAAATAGCCCTCAGTTTCGCCCTCCGTCAT